GGAAGGTACAGTGTACCCACTGTACCTTCCTAATGTAGAATATATCCTTCTGATTTCAGATAATGTTGTCACTAGATAATTAAAACGCTTTGTACCACTTTAATTGCTACGGCTCTATCCCTTGAATCCTGAGACTTGTACTTTCATGAGATATTTAGGCTTCTCTGCTAGAGAGTTCTTCTAGTGCTGCAACAAACTACTGAGGATTTCACTGAGTTCGAAGTGCAAAAATATTTGTGCTCAGTTGATTCAATGGTGGGAAAGGAGCAAGGGGCTGAATCTTGCTCTTCCCAGTAGACTCTGGGAAAAATAAACCACTGCAGCATCTCCTAACTTGGGTCTTGCTATCTTTAACCACACTCTGATGTTCATTGGGTCAAAAGAGCTTTTTCGATGCGCTTTTGGAGAGTAGCCATATTATCATACACAGTTGCTCCCCCTCAATGGTTTTCTGTCCCCAGAGTATATTTCACCACTTGTATGAAGGTCTATATTTATGACCCTATTCCTTACGGGTTTCTCCCTCACAAACAATCTGCTCCATCCCTATCTCATCCTAATTTTAGTATTTTTAGTATCTTAGTTTTTATCTTGCACATGCGGCCCCGCTCATTGTTATGTCATGTTATGTTATTTTACTGTGTATGATTTTATCATCTTTGTACTCATATGTTGTATGTATTTTACTGTGTTGTTATTGTGTTTTGGTTTTACTTTATTGTAATATGCTGTTGGGCTTGGCCTCATGTAAGCCGCCCCAAGTCCCCATTGGGGAGATGGTGGTGGGGTATTAAATAAAGATTATTATTATTATTATTATTATTATTATTATTATTATCTGTGTCATATGTGAAATCGTATGCAGCACACAGCCAGAAATCCTGGGAATTTTGTCAAACAGGCCCCATTTCAATTTTCACAATTCACAATGCAATTTTCATCAGGGTTTATTATGAGCAGTTCAAGCCAGCAAAGAAAGTCATAAACCTGCTGCATTTATAGTTCTAGGTACCGCAATTCAAGAGAGATCTTGACAAGCTAGAACGTATCCAGAATGATCAAATGTTTGATAGTCAAACCCTGTGAGGAGTGGCTTAGCGAGTCGAGTATGTTTTTCTTGGATAAAAGAAGACTGGGAGGCAGCATGATAGCTATGTTTAAATATTTAATGGATGCCAGATTGAGGAGGGGACAGCCTTGTTTTCTGCTGTTCTGGACATGTATAAATATGGGAGAGGAAGCCACAGGGAGGAGGGAGCAAGCTTGTTCTCTGCTTCCCTGGAGACTAGGACGCGGAACAATGGCTTCAAACTACAAGAAAGGAGATTCCATCTGAACATGAGGAAGAACTTCCTGACTGTGAGAGCCGTTCAGCAGTGGAACTCTCTGCCCCAGAGTGTGGTGGAGGCTCCTTCTTTGGAAGCTTTTAAACAGAGGCTGGATGGCCATCTGTCGGGAGTGCTTTGAATGCAATTTTCCTGCTTCTTGGCAGGGGGTTGGACTGGATGGCCCATGAGGTCTCTTCCAACTCTATGATTCTAGGGATGCTAGGATATGGAGCAAAAGATTCCAGCTAACTATGAGGAAAAACTTCAAGAGCTGTTCATTCAGCAGTGGAATATGCTCCCTGGAAGTGTGGTAGAGTCTCCTTCTCTGGAGGTTTTTAAGCAGAGGCTAGATGAACATCTGTTGGGGGTGCTTTGATTGTGTGTTCCTCCATGGCAGGGGGTTGGACTGGATGGCCCCCGGGGTCTTTTCCATCTTTTTGATTCTATGATAGCATTTCATTGGTCTCTTGACACCCTCCATTTGCTTAAAAACATCATTACCAGAACAAGGCTCACCTTCCCATGAGAGGAATTGCATCTGGAAAATACATTTCAAAGAAATCCAGCACTTGGTCTCCAGTTGTGAACTTCTCAAAATCGTCAAAAGGCATGAAAAGAGTGCATGTGAAAGACTTGTCCTATGAATTTAAAAATGGGACTCAAGGGTTATTATGATATGCTGTATTACAAACAGTGATACATATTACACATCTTCAGTTCTACTTCAGGTTTTATATGCCAGAACTGCAATATAGTGAGGGACGAATGCTGACCTTCCACAGGGCAAGGCTATGCCTTTGAAATTATTGGCTCTCTAGCCAAAGCTCACTTTGAGGAGGACCAAAATATCCCCAGTCTGGGTTTATACTGAACTGAAGGATGAAATAGTTCTAAACTCAAAGTGAAATATTAAACAATTCTAGACTTCAATGGTCTGAGGGTTTATGCAGTCCTGGGGTTGGAGATATATTGATATATGATCCTAGGAATTGTAGGTTGTAAGGCACCAGCATTCTTTGGCAGAGAAGGTTGAAGACTTCATAAATGGATAGCTCACATGACTCCATAGCATTGAGCCATGGCAATTAAAACAATGTCAAACAGTATTAATCCTGTCAAAGGCTTTCATGTCCGGAATCACTGGGCTGTTGTAGGTTTTTTTGGGCTATATGGCCATGTTCTAGAGGCATTCTCTCCTGACATTTCGCCTGCATCTATGGCAAGCATCCTCAGAGGTTGTGAGTATTAATCCTACTGTACAGATACTTCCAGGGAGCAATTACTGGAAGATAATGAACTCTATTACTTCCATTATGTTTGTGCCATAGCCACCAGGAAGTTGAGTTTGTTCTATTATTGACTTCAGTAGGTCTGAAGTGCTGCTATATCTGCTATAGGGACAGTTTGTTATTCATCAGAATTAGTTCAAAAGCAAACTTTGGTCTACCTACCATTTTTATTATACTATCTGTTTAATTATATCAGACTTTAACTAAATGCAATAAAATGAGGAATGCATTTACTAACCAAAATATGCAAGTTTACATGATATTGTTTGCTAAGAACTAGAGCAGGGGTCCTCAAACTAAGGCCCGAGGGCCAGATACAGCCCTTCAAGGTAATTTACCTGGCCCTCGCTCAGGGTCAACCTAAGCACACAACAACAACAACAACAACAATCCTATCTCATCAGCCAAATCAGGCCCACACTTCTCATTGAAATACTAATAAGTTTATATTTGTTAAAATTATTCTTCATTTTAATTATTGCATTGTTTTAAAGTGTTTTTTGCACTACAAATGAGATGTGTGCAGTGTGCATAGGAATTCATTTGTATTTTTTTTCAAATTATAATCCGGCCCTCCAACAGTTTAAAAAGTTTGAGGAACCCTGAACTAGAGAAATGGAAAGCAGAGGGATTGGGTGTGTCTATTTGTTGAGTCTAAGGCTGAGAGTAGTATAAGAATCTTTCTGGCAGTGGAAACCAAATCCCCCAAATAAGACAATTCAGTCTATATGTTTGTACTATGTCTGCTGCTCCTATTATTCAATTCTCCAGAAATAGATCTAAACCTAGGCCACTCACAGTGGTGGTCCATGGACCAGTGATATTCCAGGAGCTATTAGCATGTGGTCCATAGAGCACCATTTTGCACCAGTTCCTGACATTTTTTTTAAAATCTGATTTCCTCCTTGAATCATCTGAGAAATATTGATCTGAACCACTTGGGAAGTGTCTTTGGGTCTTGTCTGAACTAGAAAAAAGTGCAGCTGCCACAGTAGTGTGGCTTAAGATATTTCAATTCAGGCATGGGAAGAAATGCCCTTTTGTACCATTGAATTTGGGCAGCAGGGGATCCCGGATGTGTGTGGCTATCAATACAATTGGAGTCTGGTTTATATGGAATAGAAATGGCACTAGCAGAATCAATTCAGTGAAGAACACTCCAAATTGTACTTGAATTATTTTAGTGGTATAGACAATTCTTAGATTTCAAATTATACCATATTTCCAGAAAAAAGGCACATCTTACTTCTCATACCATGTTTGGCAGTGCAATCAGCATGAATGAGTTCCTTGGCCAAATGTGCAGAAAATTTGGCTCCATTGCAAACTGAAAGAAGACCCCAAAAAAGCATTATCAATCAATAATAGAAAGATTAGCCATTGACTGAGAACAGGGCAGGGGGGCAAGTCTACTATGAGTTACCATTACTTACATCTCCATCCTTTGGGAGGATTTTCAGCTCCTTGTATCCATGAGGAATATAAGTCTGGCTGTAATTGAAACGTGTTTGTCTCATGAACTGCTTCCTAACTGTAGAAAAAGCTCCATCACAGCCCACAATGAGATCACAAGAGACCTCTCTTCTTGTCTGGTCTGATCTGTAGTAACAACAACAAAGAGGAACTGTACTGATATTTAATCACCTTTTCAGTCACACAAAATAAATAATGAAACCTGTCTTATACATTCTTAATTAACATTACGGTGTTTTGAATAGTGATCCTGAGACCTATTTTCATGGCCTTGTTGTAAATACCATAAAGACATTAGATCACATCTCATCTTGGAGGCTAAGCAGGGTCAGCCCTGGAACTTGGATGGGAGATTACCAAAGAATGCTGTAAGCTATAATTCCTTGGAAGGAATTAACAAAACAATGTTAAGTATTCCTTGCCTTAGGAATTCCTATGAAGTTAATGGGATCCGCTTAAGTTGACAGGCAACTTACATACAAGTTGTAAAAACTTAAGAGTTAGTTCTTCTTATTTTGTTATATCTGGGCTTCATTTTATAATAATTATTTAATAGATAAAGTTAACACTGTATTTCTCAAAAGAAGGGCATCTGGGAACAAGGTAAAAATTGGATTTTTGAAATTCAGACAGAATTCTGAAATCCTAGAATCAGATATTGAGCCTTACATTTTAATTTCACTTTTAATAAATGTAGCAAATTAAGGTTTTTTGGCATGAACTTTCACAGCATTGGAACTGATCAGTTAATGGAGTACCTCCACATCATCTAGGTTGTTTTGCACATTTATTTATTTATTTACAGCTTTTATATTCCGCCCTTCTCACCCCGCAGGGGACTCAGGGATTACAGTGTACACATATATGGCAAACATTCAATGCCAATTTTGACATACAACATATACAGACATAGACAGAGGCTATTTAACTTTTTCTGGCCAGGGGAGCTGTCGCTTTCATCGTCCATCTGCGACGCTGATGAAGCACTTCCGCATTCCCCGCATGCTTCCCCACTGGAATGCTTTCCTGGAGTCTTCTTTATGGCCTCATAAATCAGTTAATTTAGCCTCCCCACACTTTAAGGTGGTACCTAATTTTCCTACTTGACAGATGCAACTGTCTTTCGGGTTGCAAAGGTCGACAACAGGCTACACAATTGGTTGGAAACCCACTCCAACCCGGGCTGGCTTTGAACTCATGACCTTTTGGTCAGAGTGATCTTAATGCAGCTGACACTCAGCCAGCTGCGCCACAATCCCGGTGCTTAAGCATGTCTTTCAAAATGGTAACAATGATCCTTATGTATGTTGGTTTCAAATATCACAAATTCCCATGAGCAATAACCTCAAATTAAGTGAATGGGTTATGAGTCAATATTTTGTCCTTTATTAGAAAGTGTTTGTTCATGGGAAAGGACTGGCTACCTTTCTGCAGTGACAGGATTGCATGCTCCTGTGAGAATCAAAAATTGTAGGGAATTTGTGATCAAGAGATTGTAGGAAAATTGGATCAAGAAATGAAGCAGGAGATCTCTGACCAAACTTTGCGAGGTCAACAGAGACAACGATATAAAAGGGCTTCACCTGATAGGCAGTATTGAAAAAGACTTCGTAGTTGGAGAACCTCTATTCCCTCTGCAAAAGCAAGATCAGGAGCAGATTATTACAGATTAATGTAAGGCTAAAGAAGAGCACTAAACCTAGCATTGTGCCAAAATACAACTAAAAGAAAACCCTTGTAAAAGATAATATAAAATAGAATATTAAGCCCCAATTGGCCAAGACCTAGAAGAACTCTAGACCAAAGTCAGGGAGGAATGCAAAAAGACATCATTTGCAGCCAAAAAGAAAGAGAATCCTCAATAGATGACAGATCTTTTTCTTGAAGCAGTTAAAGACAATCAAAGCAAAAGTAAAAGGTGACAGAACTGGGCCACAATCCTGAATGTGACTTATGCACAGTGACTTATGCACAGGGACTAAACAAACTATTATAATAATCAAGATGAACAATAGGAGGTGAAAAAAAAGGAAAATCAAGAGATCAAATGAAAATTTAAGCCAACAGTGGGAATGCCATGCGATGAACAGGAAATCACACTAAATGAGCAAGTACAAATAAAAAGACAATGGAAACAATCAAGTGAAGACCTATATAAAAGAGATGCAAAGATGACAGATTCAATCAAGGGAGAGCCATTTGAAGACGAACCTAGATTTTTAGAACATGAAGTGGAAGCTGCACTTAGACCACTTGGGAGAGATATAGAGAACAACAGATGCATAGCAATGAGTCTGGTTCAAGGTATTGACAGAATCTGCTTTAGTTCTAAATAAGATCTGTCCACAAATATGGAAAACAAAACAGTGGCCAATGGTTTGAAAACACTCAATATATATTTCAGTCCCTAAGAAAAGGAGCCCCCTCAAGAAAATTTAAAGTAAGAAAGGGCACGAGACAGGGCTGCCCGCTCTCTCCACTTATTTTTATTATGGCATTGGAGATCTTGCTCAATAACATAAAAGAAGATGAGAGTTTAAAGGGCCTTAAAATAGCGAAAGAGACCTACAAGTTAAGAGTATTCGCTGATGATCTTATATTTATTATAGAAGACCTGTTAACTAACATAGAAAAATGGATTCGGAAAGTAGAAGAATTTGATGTGGTATCAGGTTTCAAAGTGAATAGAGAGAAGTCAATGATATTAACTAAGAATATTAGAAAAACAAGACTGGAAAAGCTAGCAAAGATAACGGATGTAAAAATTGTTCACAAAATTAAATATTTGGGAATTTATATAACAGCAAAAATACACAACTAATGTAAAATAACTACGATATCAAATGGCAAGAGATCAAAAAAGATATGAAGAATTGGAGAACCCTAAATCTTTCATTATTGGGTAGGATTTCTGTTATAAAAACCAACATACTACCTAAAATGTTATACTTATTCCGGAACCTTCCAGTAGTCAGGAAAGGACAAATTTACAAGGATTGGAACAAAGATATAACAAAATTCGTATGGAATAATAAAAAAACGAGAGTAAGTTTCCCCCTCCTCCCCATCCCTTTTCTTTCCCCCTCTTATACCCCTTTTACCACTTCCCCCCACTTTTATTGCTGTATAAAGAAAATTCATCAATAAAAAATTATACAAAAAAGGAGCCCCCAGTGGTGCAGTGGGTTAAATCCCTGTGCCAGCAGGATTGAAGACCGATAGGTCGCAGGTTCGAATCCAGGGAGAGCTCCCTCTATCAGCTCCAGCTCCTCATGTGGGGACATGAGAGAAGCCTCCCACAAGGATGATAAAACATCAAAAACATACAGGCGTCCCCTGGGCAATGTCCCTGCAGACGGCCAATTCTCTCACACCAGAAGTGACTTGCAATTTCTCAAGTCACTCCTGACATGACAATAAATAAATAAATAAATAAATAAATAAATAAAGTCCCTAAGAAAGGGGACACCCGGCACAGCAGTAATTACAGGACCATTGCATTAATCTCTTATGCAAACAAAATGATGCCAAAAATGTTAAAACAATGATTTTGATCATGTTTTGAAAGAGTAATGTCAGATGACTAAGTTTGGTTCGGCAAAGGAAACAGTATTAAGAATCATATTGTAATGGAGTGCACTAAAGAATTTCAGAAGAAAATCAGCCTGTGCTGTATTGATTATAACAAAGCCTTTGGTTATATCACCAAAAACTTTTGTTTGTTTTCAAGGAAATGACTATGCCAAACATTTGATTGCCGTGATGTCCTCTACTCAAAAGAAGAGGCTACCATCAAGACCAAATATGGGGAATATGGAGAAACGGAATGGTTTCCAGTTGGCAAGAGTGTCAAGGCATTTTATCATCCTATTGCTTAACTTGTATGCTGAACATATCATACATAAAGTAGGATTAGACTTGGAGAAAGGAGGCATGGAAACTGGAGAAAGGGACCATTAACAGTTTAAAATATATGGATGATACCATACTACTAGCAGAAAACAGCAAAGTCTTGGAATTTACTAAAAAGAAAGTGCAGAAGTGGGTTTACAGTAGAACATTATTAATAATAATGACCACATAACTTTAAAATAGATAATGAAGACAGTGAAATACATATTTACTCAAGTCTATTTACTCACATATTTACTCAAGTCTAATGAGCATCATATTTTTAGTAAAGTACGTCTCAAAATCAAATCATTGATTTTGGTCATAGACCAGCACAGGAAATAGAAATCACATTTTCATACAAACTTGGTATATTTAGTACATTAAAAATATAAATATAACTACTGAAGCACAATGTGGGTGAGGGAGAGGAGGGGAAAACAGGGTAAAAACATACAATGCACAGATCCATCACCAAATTGTAGATTCAGGGAAGATAATTATTGGACACACAGTTAACTTTTGGGAAAGTACGTCTCTAAAATTAGGGTATGCATGAGATTCAATTGTGCATTAGAATCATGTGTTTGTATAAGGTGGGCGCCCCTCCTTGCCTGTGATGCTGCCAGAGGGGCATAACTCCTTTATGGCAAAGCCGCCACTACTGTTTTGGGCATAGCCATGGCAATGGCAGGATCCCAGGCTGTGGGAACAAAGGCTCAGCCAGGCACACTAGTGGCACATTGGGGCCTTGGGATCAGAGCCAGGGAAGCAGCCATTTCCACCTGAGCCCAGGAGAAAGTGGCTCATTTTTGTTCCTGGGTTATAAATCTCATTTCATAATTGGTTCTATCAAAAAGCATGGAAAAAGGTTTATTAAACTGCAAAAACTTGGAATATCTCATCAAGTCTCAACCAATTCCACATAGTTTGTGGCAGCCACAAAAATGAAGTTTCTGGAGTATAACAACTACTTTCAAAGTACATACCACTCAATTAAACAGGAAAGAACACTTTCAAACCACGAATAGGTTTTTTCCAATTTTGTTACCTTGAGTAATAAGGTGTCTTGGAGATTTTTCATTCATAGCTTTACCAATTGATTTGATAGCAATTAACAATATCAGTGAGAAATAACATGATTTCTTCTATTAAGAAGATGCATCCAGCATGAAAGCCCTGTTTGTTATTGCTCTTTATTTCTCACTGATATTGTTAATTGCTATCAAATCAATTGGTAAAGCTATGAATGAAAAATCTCTAAGACACCCTATTACTCAATGTAACACAATTGAAAAAACCTATCAGCTAAATAAGAACTGCAACAGCCTTTGTAGTGATTAAACTTTGGGATAAAGAAATTTAATTATCTGAAGTATAATAATGTCACATTGGTCCTATGTTCCATTTTAGTCTACAAGCATACCCGTATTTTCTGGCATGTAAGACGACTGGGCATATAAGATGACCCCCAAATTTTCCTGTTAAAATATAGAGTTTGGGACATACTTGCCATATAAGACTACCCCTCTTCCAACACACACCAAATAAAAATAAATTAAAAAAACATCAAATTTGATTTCAATATGGTAATTTTCCTATTACCATACCTCCTTCTCTGCCTCTCAGATCTCACACATGTGCGCCTTCACTGCTTCACTGCAATCCTCAAGAATGAGATCTGAGAGGCAGAGAAGGAGGTACGGTAATAGGATACAAGGGCGGACCAGGTGGGTGAAAGAAGCATCTTTTTCTGAGCACAGCGCTGATCTATCTCTTTTTTTTCCCATACCCTGGGCATCCCAGACACCTGCACCTTGCTCCACCCTTCACTTACATCTTCCCGGTGAGGCATCCCCTCACCTCATCATTGGGACCACATTAAGTCACTTCTTTCCACTAATCCTGGTGAGTGGATTTTCTTCTACCGCCACCCTTGCTGCTTTCATACAGTTTCCGCTTATGGTAGGGATGCAGCCATGGCTGTTTTTGAGTTCCCCTCATCATGTGCGGCAACCACAGATTCTAGTCAGGTTCGGAAGTTTCAGCACCCAGCGTATAAGACTAAACCAGGTGTACAAGATGACCCTCGACTTCTGAAATGATTTTCCTGGGTCAAAAAGTAGTCTTATACGCCAGAAAATCCAGTGAATATATTTAATAGAGAGCAAATGTCATAGAAAACAGATAGACCAACCCTGAAGTAAAGATTTGTAACACTGTGCTGTTAATCTCTTAACCTTCTCCCAAAAAAGTCAATGATGCCAGGAGGAACTGCAAACCACAGACACAGCAAGCTCATTGAGAAGAGATGATGGCCTATTATTTGTGTTCTGGTTAATTATTAGAGTACTCAGGAGGGCTTATTTTATTGATTACCTTGAAAAGTCCAATAGCCCTGATTCTACATGGCAGCGAAGCAGTTTGTGTCCAAAGTATAATGTAGTGTTGGAATATTTCTCAGCAGCTGTAAAGAGGGAAAGAAAAGAGGGATACTGAAGGAAAATGATTAGGCAAAACCAGGAGATATTCCAGCTAACTAATTTTCCCCTAAGTACAGGAATTGGAAAAGCTACAGTATGTCTAAAGTATTTTTTTTACAATGCGTACATTTAAAAATTGCAATACATTCTGCATGTTTCGGAGGCTTATTGCCATTCCCACAATGTGAAATAGTTGTCACGGGTGGCTCTGCACAACTGCTGCCATTGCAGGAGTGCCTTTTCCCCTTCTTTGTCTGTTTGTTTGTTTGTGTTCTTTTAATTTTGCAGGCACATTGCAACTGGGAAGTACAGGGTGAGTTTTTTTTAAAAAAAATGTATAACAAAGGGAACTTGACAGATGCCACTACAGAATCACATGAACTTGTCATACAAGGTAAGTCATGGCAGCGAGATGGCAGACAGCAATGATATTCTGCTGCTGTGGCAATCCATCACAGCCATGTGATAAAGTCCTCTATCAACTGAGTAGATTTGTATTTTCTAGATCAGGGGTCCTCAAACTAAGCCACGGGGGCTGGATCCGGGTCTCCAAGGTCATTTACCCAGCTCTTGCTCAGGGTCAACCTAAGTCTGAAATGACTTGAAAGCACACAACAAAAATCCTATCTCATCAGCCAAAAGCAGGTCCACACTTCCCATTGAAATACTAATAAGTTTATATTTGTTAAAATTGTTCTTCATTTTAATTATTGTATTGTTTTTAAGTGGGTTTTTTTTTGCACTACAAATAAGATATGTGCAGTGTGCATAGGAATTTATTCATTTTTTTTCAAATTATAATCCGGCCCTCCAACAGTCTGAGGGACTGTGTCCTGGCCCTCCGTTTAAAAAGCTTGAGGACCCCTGTTCTAGATAATCTACTATACCCCCCTCCACCCCATTTTAAATGTAAATAATTCGATTGATTTTGTGTCCTATGAAACTTGCTGACATATCTGTGCCAGCATAAGATTGTACTGTAGAGTCTGTGGATTACATACAATTACCATATGTTATCAGCTGTAAATGTGCCATTTTTTTCTTTCTCGATAACTTTTCTGTATTTATCCTATGTTACACTCAGAATTCAGATTCTAACTTGCACTCCAGCATCCCATTTGGTACATTCTCTTTAACCTTCTATACCAAATATAGACTCCCTTTGATATTTTATCCCACTAAGGGTGAAAGCACTGGTACATCATTCAAATGCTTCAAATGCATATTAGCTGTCCTATGGCTTTTGACCAGGAATATCAGTTTCAGTCATGTAACCGCACTTAAAACACTCTTCTAAGTATTAAAAAGTAAACAGAATGGACACAAAAGAGTGTTATTTGATATATTATGAGGAGACAGGAAAGCTTAGAGAAGACAATTATGCTGGGGAAAATGGAAGGAAAAAGGAAGAGGGGCCGACCAAGGGCAAGATGGATGGATGGTATCCTTGAAGTGACTGGATTGACCTTGAAGGAGCTGGGGGTGGTGACGGCCGACAGGGAGCTCTGGCGTGGGCTGGTCCATGAGGTCACGAAGAGTCGGAGACGACTGAACGAATGAACAACAACAACAAATACTGTCACAAACATTCAATTATTTTGGCTATATGATGGGATTTTGGATGACCACTGATAGAAAAAGGTAGACTTACCACTTAGAAGCTCTTTGTTTAAATTTGCTCTATCGACAGAGAGAATATACTGCATGAAAAATATATAATGCAAAGAATACTTTTGTAAGTGTTTTAGCAGATGGTTAAGGTGTTGTTAGCCAACTTCTCCTCTAAATTTTCAGATATTTCAGCGCAGAGATGTCCCTTTCATAGCTATGAGGCTGAGATTCCCTCACCTGGCTGCTACAGTGCATATTTCTATACTCTTTCTACCACCAAAAGTCAAATCCACATAATAACTTAGCCACACAGAAGATAAGAATGATTACATATCAGTGCAATAGTATCAGTGATTATAGCTATGCCTGATGTCGAGCACCCCCCCCCCCCAAAGTAAGGGATAGTGACTTATAGTTCTGCAAAGGGCAAGGGCACCAGACTACACAACAAGGGTTAAGTCTTGGTCACATTGCCAAAGCATTGACAACAACAAGGACCCCACGAGGCTTTTGGGAAACGGCTGGATCTTGGGACTTCTGCCCTTCGTGAGAGTTGTAGTTTCCCAAGGACCTAAGTGTGACTCAGTTGCAGCACAGCTGGGGTTTCATTTGCCAGCCTTCCCAATGATCATGGACTCTCTGCCTGCATGTCTTGGACTTCAGTACATACTATCTCCCTCATGAACTTTCCTCAAAGACCTTTTAAAACATTGGACTTCAGGCTTCTTCATGAAAATTAATCCTCTTATTAAATATACTTGGGATGTGGGACAAAGATGAGGTTATTATTAATTATTATTATTATTATTATTATTATTATTAACTTTATTTGTACCCCGCTAGCATCTCCCGCAGGACTCGATGCGGCTTACACAGGCCGAAGCCTCAAAAACACAATACAATAGAAAACATAACATCACAAAAGCAAAACAAATCAAACAATAAGCAAAATAACAACAATAGCAGTACATCAAGACATTTAAAACTGGTTCGGCCGGCGCAATGGGGTACAGGGTTAAAAGTGCTGAAATGGCAGGAGGCACGTAGGGTTAAAGTGCGGTATGCAGCAATGATTAGTTATGCTAAGGTGCTACTAGGACTTGGGATGGGGATTCCTAGTCTGGGAAAGCACAACGGAACAGCCAAGTTTTTAAATTCCTTCTGAAAACGGCTAGAGTAGGGGCCTGTCTGAGATCTTTTGGGAGGGCATTCCAAAGTCGGGGGGCCGCCACAGAAAAGGCCCTGTCCCGTGTCCCCACCAAGCGCGCTTGCGACGTGGGTGGGATCACGAGCAGGGCCTCCAGATGACCGGAGCGAGCGTGTGGGTTCGTAGATGGAGATGCGGTCACGCAGGTAGGGTGGTCCCAAACCGTTCAGGGCTTTGTAGGTGAGCACCTGCACCTTGAATTGGGCTCGGAAAATAAATGGCAGCCAGTGAAGCTCCTTAAACAGAGGGGTAGACCTCTCTTGATAATGAGCCCCGGTTAGCATCCTGGCTGCTGCCCGCTGGACCAATTGGAGTTTCCGAGCCGTCTTCAAGGGCAGCCCCACGTAGAGCGCATTGCAGTAGTCCATTCTAGAGGTGACCAAGGCGTGGACCACCCCGGCCAGATCAGCCTTCACGAGGTATGGTCGCAGTTGGCGCACAAGTCTCAGTTGCGCAAAGGCCCTCCCGGATACCGCCGACACCTGAGCCTCAAGTGTGAGCGAAGAATCCAAGAGGACACCCAAACTGCGGACCTGTGGCTTCAGGGGGAGTGTAACCCCGTCCAGCACAGGTAGCCACCCTATACCCCGATCCGGTTTACGATCGACCAGGAGGACCTCTGTCTTGTCAGGATTGATCTTCAGCTTGTTCTTCCTCATCCAGATCGACACAGCGGCCAGGCACTCGTCCAGCACCCGAGAGGCCTCCTTGGAGTTAGGTGGAAAAGAGTAGTAGAGTTGTGTGTCATCTGCGTAGAGATGGCACCCAACTCCAAAACTCCGGATGACCTCTCCCAGCGGTTTCATGTAGATGTTAAAAAGCATGGGAGACAAAATAGAGCCTTGCGGGACCCCACAGGTCAAAGGCCAGGGGTCCGAGCAGGCGTCTCCCAGCTTCACCATCTGGGATCGACCCTCCAGGAAGGACCGGAGCTACGATAGAACCGTGCCCCCAAGGCCCATCCCGGAGAGTCGTCCCAGCAGGATACCATGATCGATGGTATCGAAAGCTGCTGAGATGTCCAGGAGAACCAACAGAGTCACACTCCCCCTGTCCAGTTCTCTGCGGAGGTCATCCACCAAGGCGACCAAGGCTGTCTCGGTGCCATGACCAGGCCTGAAACCAGACTGTGACTGATCTAGGTAGTTGGTATCGTCTAGGAAACTCTGGAGCTGGGAGGCGACCACCCGCTCCAGCACCTTACCCAAAAAGGGGAGGTTGGAGATCGGTCTGTAGTTACTCAGCACCGTGGAGTCAAGGGAAGCTTTTTTGAGGAGTGGGCGAACCACAGCCTGTTTCAAATTTCTGTTAAAAGGAACAGCACAGCTGAGTATAATCCTGTCCACTTTCAAACTTTGTAAATTTTTGAGCTTTTTTCACCTCTCTTTCTTTCAATGGAGACTTAAAAGAAATAGATGTGTAAAAGATCAGTCCACTGTGACTTTAAATGTAAAATCCATTTTAGTAGCAGGAAGCTGTTATATGGTTAGAGCAGTTATTTTTATTGTCTGTCTGGGTATAGTGTTTAACTGCAGGCACAAAATAAATCAATAGTGCCATAAAGCTACTCTCACCCTGTACCCTTTC